TTTACTAACAATTAGTAAAATTTAACTAATTCTCAACCAAAAAGTGAGTCACTAATTCAAATTAGTAAACATTTTTACTAATTCAGATTTAGAGAGTAGCATTGGTGAAAATTACCCGCAACAAAATTTACCCAGCGTTTTTTCTGAGATATGAAAGTAGTAAAAATTACTTTTTCTTTTTTTTCCGTGTACGATTGCTAAAAAAAAAAATATTCAAATTTTCGAAATATACCCTCAGGAATACAATATTTTTGTTATTGGCAAAGTATTTAAGAAATACTTTCCTAATAAATAAACTATAATGGTTGCGGAAATTATGATTGACTTGAATTGAGGTTATGTTAACCTATTGTTGGTACAGCCAAATGCCATAACTAAAATAACATCCGTATGGCTAAAACAATATATAGCTGTATAACAAAACCAGCAATGGATTAACCAAAATTATATCTGCATTCAAAAAAAAAAATTTCTTGAAATCTTTCAAAAATGTGTTTTAATAGTTTTATTTTCCGATAAAACCAATTTTCAGTTTGAGGTTATGTCAAACGATTAAACCGCCTTAAATACAAATCGATTATTATAGAATTATTAATAGGAAAACTTGAAAAATCTTACCTTGATTTCTTTTCTGCCAATACGTTGTTTTCCAGTGATATAAGAAAAAAAAAAACACTCGCGGTTTTAAGAATTTCGAACACTCACGCGGCAAAACTTAAATACTCTCTATCGAACGAACGCGGTTTTAAGAAAATTCGAACACTCCCGATATCATTTTCAATGGAAAAAACTATTTTTAATAAACACCCTAAATTCGATCGCAGTTTTAAAAAATGCGTACACTCCCGAAGCTTTCGTTGAATCTGAAAAAAAAGAAAAATGGAGATTAGCAAATTTTTGAAACACGTGACGAGAAAATGAGAGTTTCGATCAAATATAATATGTCGACCTACAATGCGCAAGGCCTATGCGCATTTAAATAATATTTTCTAAATATTTATTAATTTTCACTAGTTTTGAGTTTTTGACCTGCTATTCGAACCGAGCAATAAAAACACTGTCTTGAAATGAAAACAATAAATTTTATTATTGCATAGAAATTCTATTATTGTTTTCATTTACTATTCTTATTTATCTCATCTGATTTATAAGACGAAATATAAAATATTAATTTAATATATTAAAAATTAATTTTTAATTTTATTAAATACATAAATAAAAAAATGGAATTTTCGTAAACATTAATTTTTTACTTCAATTTACACTACAATGAGTAGGGAGGGGGGGAGGTATTTGAAAATATTGTCTGACCTTAAATATATATAAGTTTAAATATAAAAATGCAATATTTAGAAAATTATTTTACATTATTTTAAAAATTATTTTATATATTTTATAGAAGAAAAAAAATCTAAGCGTTCGAAGATATAGATATTCTTCATATATGTATAGTAGGGAGAGAAAATTACTATCCCTTGGGCATGTTTACTGAACATAAAGATAAAAAAGGAGAGAAAAAAAAAATGAGAAAAATGACTCTAGGGGAAAGTCTTCACTTAAAATGTTTCGATTTCTACGTCAAGTGTACTTTCACATACATATATAAACACAAGGATTTCTACGATTTGGCACTTTACCAAGTCCCGTAGGTGGCTCTAATGTGGTATATACAGTCAGCAATTTTAACATGCAATCTTGTGTCCATGTAATAAATTTCTAGTTGCTCGGAAAAAGTTAGTTGTACTTGAAATTTAGTAAACTAGTCATATAATTTTGAGTACTACAATATATATATATATTTCATTAACAATTTTTAAAACAAAATACAAAAAAATAAATAACCGTTTTGGAATTTTTTTTATTACTTTTTTTCTTTAAAATTAAATTGTTTTTAATTTTTCCGTTAAATTTTATCTAAAAATAATTTTTCTATAATTCAAATCTTAAAATTTTTAAATAATATCGAACGATTTCATAAAAAGGAAAAGAGATAAAAGAATTTATATTGGCAATTGTTTTAATTTTGTAATTGTAACTTGATTGTATGTCAATCGATAATCGCGTTCTTGGATAATGCCGCAAACACATACAGAGACAGAAAACTATAAAAATTTTCCAAATACTTAATCTCAAGGAAACTCGTTAAAATTCTTGATCCTTAATTTCATTTTCGACTGAGATGCTCAATTCAATTTTGCGCCTTATACGGTTTATTTTATATATATACTTTTCACTTAAATGCCGCGTGTAAAGGGACCAAATAATCCTAACAACTGAACAAAGCACTATTGCAATTGTAATGTAAAAAGCTCTCTTTAAGCACAATAGCGTATAAATTTAACATTCTCAGAGTAAAATAATGCTTCATTTAACATTGTGTATACTAAATTGAAATTCGCAACTATTTTGCAAAATTCTTATTTCTAACATTACTTTTTATATTCTGAGTTTATATATGTATTTTATTATTATTATTTTTTTTTTTTTAAAGCAGCATCGATCACATTTTTCCTTTATTCTTTTTTTTTTTCCTCTAGTGCTCAGTCTTGCATTATAAAATGTACCCACAGAAATATCGCGAAGAATTTATTTCGAGTTCACTTCGTGCTACGACGCGCGACAATTTTTTTGCTTTATTTTTGAATCTCAAATTGTAAGTATATGAATATAAAAATAATATAAAATAAAAAAAAAAAATGTGTGTGAAATTTTTCTTCAATATTTAAGTTATGCAAATTTAAAGAAAATCAATATTTATAGCGAGTTTTTAGTTATAAAAATATAATAGATTTTAAATATAACATTCTATTATTTCATTCATTAAAATTTTATAAACTTTTTGCCACTTTTATAGAAAAATTCATCTGCAAATAAAATGTGAACAATTTTTTTTTTTTTTATTAATGTCTATTCCAAATGACGTTATAAATTTTTAATTGATTTTTTCAACTTTTAAAACTCACATTTTTACATGTCCAATAAATTATTATTTAATTATTGGAAATAAAAAAAAACTGAATGTCACTGTGTAAATAAAATCTCTTTTTGAATTCAGTTATTTGAAAAAAAAAAAAGAAAAATATAAATACTCAATGAAAACGTGATAATGTAACTTTAAATTCTCTCTCTCTCTACTTAAAAAAAAAAAAAAAAAAAACAATGGGGTGTGCGTAGCGTTCAAGTGGATAAAGTCTATATACACGGTCAGTATGTGGGTTGTATGTGCAATACAGTATAGAGGATGTCCTTTGAATTTCTCAATTTCTTCCCCTCTTGAACAAAAGAGAAAAAGGATTACGATAAAACAAAAGCGAGGTGAAAACAGTAGTCTGCTCTGAGAAAAAGCTCTTTGTAAATAAACCATACTCTTAAGTCAGGATAATAAGACAGAAAAAATATGGAAGACCAAAATAAAAAAAAAAAAAAAAATACATTTTTATGAGCAGGAGAAGAAATCTAGGTTGAAAGGAAAAATGTAACTCGCGTGGTTAAAAAAAAAATTCTTTATGATAACACATCATAGAGATGGAATAATATAGAAATTTTTATCCATTAAAAATGTGCTGCAATTTTTTTTCCCCCTATATAGTTGAATATATATTCTTTATTTCAAATATATATTTATATGAAATAAAAATCTACTAAATCTTCTTTCAAATTAATTACAGCAGACAAAAATAGTATTTTTTAAAATTAAATTTATTTGAACCAAATAATTTTTATTTGAATTAAATAAATTGTATTTGAACCAATAATTTCTGTACTTGAAACAAATACCATATTTAATTGACTCAAATAATAATTATTTGATACAAATAAATATTTATTTGATAATAGTCAAGTAATCGAGTATTTGAATCAAATAAATTTTTTTTTCAGTGAAGAGAAAAATAATAATCTATTATATTTGTAAAATTTGTCTAAAAATAATAATAATTTTTTTTTTAAAACTAAAAACCATTTTTTTATTCAAGGTAATATTATTTTCATAATAATTTAATTTATTACAATTATTTTATTATAATTTAATAAATTTCATTATTTTAAAAAAGCGCGCGCTTGGGCCAATGAAATGTGATTTGAACTAAATGTAGGTTATGTTCGTGTCTGATTCATGACAGCTACAAATATTTACAACAAATAAATACTTTGCAAGTGTACAATTTATTGCAATTAAGTAAGTTATGCAAAATATATATGTGGAACAATAATTTAAGGTGATTTTTATAAAATGAATATTGATTTAGATGCTCTGGAAAGCAAAGTTCATTTTTTCGACCATCAAGATATTTCGATACATTTTCATGTGCTTTGCATCTTTTTTAAGAAAGGAAATCTTCTAAAATTGAATTTTTGAGAATTTTTTCATTGAGGTTATGTTAGGGGGGGCCTAAGCAGAATGAAATCTCTAATCGTAAATCTGAAGCTTTTACATGAGAGAGAAAAGGATAGAAATATCTTTTATCCTATTCTCTCTCATGTAAAAGCTTAAGATTAGAGGTTTCATTCTGCGTTGGCTTATTAAAATAAAAACTAGGTGGCGCCACACTACAACCTGGGAAAATTTAAGGCCATGTCCAAGTCGAGTCAGCTGTTCCTTTGAAGTTTCAATGGAACAGCTGACACGACTTGGACCTGGCCTTAAATTAAAATCAACAAAGAACTCTAGAATATCGACTTTTATTAAATTTTCATGGAAAAATTGCTTTTCTAATATATTTTAATGCAGTTAACAGTCAATTTGCACAAACCACATATATATATATATATATAAACTTACGCGATTTTGTCCCACTTTACTGAAAAATGATATAACGTTTATACCATTTGACATATGGCCGCACGTTATAAGAAGACTTTTATAGAAGAACATATCCTGAGCAATTTTTCACTCAGAGAGAGTGCGAGAGAGAGAGAGAGAGGGAAATCTTTTGAAACACGTTCTATCACGATAGTCGTGCAGCTTTTTCACGATTTTTTTTTTTCCTTTTCACACACAGGGGTTCATGGTTCACCTTGTCCGGAAGATAGCGTTGCCGCTGAAGATGGAAGATGTAAATGTGTCTCACCATGTCCTACTGATAAATGTCGACCGGGTCAACAACCTGTCCCAGTGAGAGCTGCTGATCCAGAAACTCCTGGGAGCTGCTGTCCTCTCTACAAATGTCTTCCCTCAGGTAATTAACGCCACAGATTCTCTATATACCTCTAAAATCTATCATGCATGTATACTAATGGGTTGTGTGTATATCAAAGTTGAGCATTGGATATCACTTACAACTGTTGTGCTTCCAAACATAGGTGTGTTAAGTGCTTTCCGTAAATTGAAAATCGAAAATAAAAGATAAAATTGTTTTTTTTTTTTTAAAGTGACCCTTTTATAGAAATTGTCATTAAAATTCAAGAGGATTTCAGTGTGCTTCATTAGAAGTGAAATATAAATTAAATTTGCTTTGTTATATAACAATTTTAAGGGTAAGAGTTTGTGTATAACATATACAGTAGAGACATAATTTTATCATAGAGAGACACGACGTTTATTCTTCATGTGTTTCCGCACGTTCTCTAAATCCACATAAGAACATCTACATATTTAGATTCCTGAGAATGTATACCATAAAGTCTCAGAGACTTACTCAAAACCCGAGTTTAGATTTCATATATATGTATGTACACAGCAATATTCGTATGTCTTAAAGAAGGAAGGGTAAAGGGAGAAATGGTTTGATCTAAACTAGTCGAGAGCCATGACCATGAACTAAATATTAAATTGAAAAAAGTTTATTCAAGCTTTTGAAAAATTTAATTAATTATAGTTTCTAAATTTTTAATTTCTTTTTAACTAAATTAGAATTTTCACTCGAATTATTAATTTATTAATAAATAAATAATTATAAAGTGAATTATTAATCCTACTATACATCTAAACTGAAAGCATCATTTAACAATAAAGCCGAGAAAACAGTAGTTTACACGAAATTTCAGAACTTCTGCCTTAGCTTAGGCAACTCGAATAACCTAGCTGTAAAATGATGAGTCGACGTTCAAAATAGTTATACTCGTAAGCTGAATGTAACTCTACCTTTTACCCAGGTGCGAATTTCGGTCGGCCGCCAGAGTTGGTTCGTCGGCCCATGGTCGGCCCAACTCTGGCTGCCGACCGGTCGGCAGCCAGAGTTGGGCCGACCATGGTAAATATTTGCACCCAAAGTTGGGCCGACTATGGCTGCCGACGTCGGCAGTCACAGTTGGGCCGACCATTGCAGCCATAGTTGGGCCGACTATGGGGGATTATGGTCGGCACAACCTTGGCAGCCATAGTTGGGCCAACCTTGGCTGCCATAGTTGGGCCGACCAGGGGGGGTAATGGTCGGTCCAACTATGGCAGCCACAGTTGGGCCAACCATGGCTGCCATAGTTGGGCCGACCATGGGGGTAATGGTCGGCACAACCTTGGCAGCCATGGTTGGCCCAACTGTGGCTGCCATAGTTGGGCCGACCATTCTTCCCCATAGTCGGTCCAACTATGGCAGCCACAGTTGGGCCGACTAAGGGGAAAATGGTTGGCACAACCTTGGCAGCCATAGTTGGGCCAACCTTGGCTGCCATAGTTGGGCCGACCATGGGGGACAATGGTCGGTACGACCTTGGCAGCCAAGGTCGGTCCAACCTTGGCTGCCATAGTTGGGCCGACCATTCTTCCCCATAGTCGGCCAAACTATGGCAGCCACAGTTGGGCCGACTAGGGGGAGAATGGTCGGCATGACTTTGAAAACCGCAGTTGGGCCGACTACGGGGAATGTAGTCAGCATGACTGGCAGCCGAGTATATCGATGGTCGGTATATCAAGGATTACAGAATTATTTTTCTCAAAAGAAACACGATCCCAGGTGCGAATTTCGGTCGGCCGCCAGAGTTGGTTCGTCGGCCCATGGTCGGCCCAACTCTGGCTGCCGACCGGTCGGCAGCCAGAGTTGGGCCGACCATGGTAAATATTTGCACCCAAAGTTGGGCCGACTATGGCTGCCGACGTCGGCAGTCACAGTTGGGCCGACCATTGCAGCCATAGTTGGGCCGACTATGGGGGATTATGGTCGGCACAACCTTGGCAGCCATAGTTGGGCCAACCTTGGCTGCCATAGTTGGGCCGACCAGGGGGGGTAATGGTCGGTCCAACTATGGCAGCCACAGTTGGGCCAACCATGGCTGCCATAGTTGGGCCGACCATGGGGGTAATGGTCGGCACAACCTTGGCAGCCATGGTTGGCCCAACTGTGGCTGCCATAGTTGGGCCGACCATTCTTCCCCATAGTCGGTCCAACTATGGCAGCCACAGTTGGGCCGACTAAGGGGAAAATGGTTGGCACAACCTTGGCAGCCATAGTTGGGCCAACCTTGGCTGCCATAGTTGGGCCGACCATGGGGGACAATGGTCGGTACGACCTTGGCAGCCAAGGTCGGTCCAACCTTGGCTGCCATAGTTGGGCCGACCATCATAAAGTAAATTTCTCTCCTACCATTGACAAATGTAAAATGTTTTTGTTAATTTACTTGTAATTGATTAATTTAAAAAGAAAAAAGGTTATATGTGATTAATTTATTATTTTGAATTACTAACTTTAATTTTTTTCAAGCTGTAGCTTATAACATTTATTTTTCTCCGTGACTCATATGTCATTGCGTAGTGTAGTGGTTAGCGTATTAGACTGCGGTGCGTTAGGTTGCGAGTTCGATCCCTGCGAGCGTTAAAAATTTTAATTTGTATATATGTATGTTTACGATTGCGTTTAGTGTTTAAGTATATAAAATAAATGTATAATGAATTTAAAATGATTACTAATATATGTTATTTGTATAACAAATTTTTATATTTTAATGTTTATGGTCGGCAAAATTTTAGCTGCCAAGGTTGGCCCAACCATGGCAGCCATAGTCGGGCCGACTATGGCTGCCGACCGTCAAGTTGGATGGTCGGCAGCCAAGGTCGGCCCAACTATGGTACCCATAGTTGGCCCGACTTAGTCGACCATAGGTCGGCCGACGTTATCAATTCGCTAGTTGGCCCGACCATCGGCAGCCATAGTCGGGCCGACCAAGGCTGCCATAGTTGGGCCGACTATCATAGCCGACGGTCGGCAGCCATAGTCGGGCCGACCATGGCAGCCATAGTTGGGCCGACCTCGGCTGCCTTAGTCGGGCCGACTATGGCTGCCGACCGTCAAGTTGGATGGTCGGCAGCCAAGGTTGGCCCAACTATGGCTGCCATGGTCGGCCCGACTATGGCTGCCGACCGTCGGCAAGGATGGTCGGCCCAACTAGGGCAGCCTTGGTCGGCCCGACTATGGTACCCATAGTCGGTCCAACTTAGTCGACCATAGGTCGGCCGACGTTATCAATTCGCTAGTTGGCCCGACCTCTGGCTGCCCGAGGTGGGCCGACCATGCACATGGTCGGCCCGACCATGGGCCGACCGACAATTCGCACCTGGGTACTGACAATACAGAAAATAAAAATTCTCCTCGAATGGTAAAAATTAGGTGTTCCATTTTAAGACTTTCTTTATTATTACTTTTACTTGCCTCTGTCTAAATCTGAATTAGTAGAAATTTTGAATTCGTGACTCACTTTTTTTTTGTTAGTAAATTACTAATATTTAACTAATAGTAAAAAGTGAATCACTAATTCAAATTAGTTAGAAATTTTACTAATTCTTTAGAGAGTAATTTTTTAAACGTTAATACAATGCAATTCTAAAAACATTTTCTGCAAGATAATTCTTAATCAATCTTCAATTCAACATAATGATATTTCATAATTTAATGCGCAATAAAAGGACAAGAGAATCATTTAAGTCTTCATACTTGTCATTATATAATATTAAGTTTTGAAATATCATTATCTTGAATTGAAGATTAATTGAGAATTATTTTGTATCCAACTTTCAAATTGCAGATGTTTTTTAACTTACAATTTGTATTCCATTGACTAGACTATATCTGTATATATTTAATTTAAAAAATATTCTTTAAATTTTTTTTTAATCCCTAAAAACTAAATATTTGTAAATAAAATTTAATTCAGTTTCTTTCCCATACATTTAAAACATTCAGTCGTGCATGTAGGGACTAATAATTTTCCATTCTCGTCAACAAGTTCGTCACGCAATTTTTCAGATAATACTTCAAATCCGGCTCTACTGGCTAATTTTGCTGATATTGGCGATGTAAAAACGGTCATTGTTAATGGAATTTTATATTTTTTACCAACTTCATTTCTGAAAGTTATTAAAAAATAAAGTTATCAAAATTTTAATTTAAAAACGTTTAAATAATTTTTTAACAAAAACTTAATTTTCTCTCTATATCTTTTTTTGCAAACCGACATTACCGTGCCATAAGAAGATGATATCCAATTGCATTTCCTCGAAAAACAGGATCTACACTTAGACCAAAGCCTCCTATATATTTATCGTAACCATATAATTTTTCAAGATTCACGTCTGCTGATGATGCTTCCATAACTTGCATTACTTTTCGTACCTTATCAGATTTACTCTGGAAAAAAAAAAAAAAATGTTAAACCCTCTCAATAAAAATATAATATATATTATTATTTAGTATATTATATGCTATTTAATATAAAAATTATATTTTTTAAATAGAACAATTTTTCGTTTACAATATATTGACTAAAATCGATTTTCTGTTCCTTTCCACCCAAATAAAGAATATTAAGGGCTGCTATTATAGGCTTTCCGCCTTGAGGATTTTCAACAAATGCCGCAACACTTAAATTATCCCCTAATGCAGTTTTAAATAATGTTCTAAATTCCTCCATTGCTTGTGGATCATTTTTCACATCTAAAAGTATAATGTAAAAAAATGCTTTGAAATAATATTTTATATTACATATTTTTTTGTTTGAGTAAAAAAAAAAAAAATTTTACAACATTGTTAATTAGAGCATTATTATTGTTTAAAACTTTCTTCTATTCATTATACACAGACATATGAAAAATAAATGTTATTTCATTTGTGCTTCATTTGTCTGGACCGCCCTTAATTAATTAACTCTTTTTGCAATCGAGGTCACCAGTCGGTTGAAATATATACTCTCGTGAATGTTACAGTTCATATAATACTAAAGTGACTAAATTTAAAAATTTGTTTTTTTTAATTTTCTATACATTTTTTTAATACTGATTTCTAAGTTTTCACAGAAAATTAAAATGCATTAAAATAAACTGCAACACGCTTATTATTTTAATCTAATTTTGCTTATTTTAATATACCAAAATGGATTAAAATAATAAGCGTTGCAGCTTATTTTAATGCCTTTTAATTTTCTGTGTTAATTTTATCACAAATGCAATATTTCATTATAATGTTTAAAAATAATTTATCAGTTATTAAAAATCATTAACTCACTTTCACTTTTACATAAAGGTTCATCGGCTAGAAAAAAAGTACACATATGATTCACAGCATCCACAAATCTATCTTTTGGAATTAGTTTAATGAAAAATTTCATTGGCTTTTCATTTTTTGTGGCTTCCACAATTTTAATAAAATCATTACTATCCTCCATGTTTTGGATAAAAGGGAAAATAATTTTTTTTTTTTTTGTAACTGATAAACTAAATGCAAAAAAAAAAAAATGTTCACACTAGTACTGAAAGCTTGCAAGATACTAGTCAGCTTTTAGTGGCTCGTACTTGGTGTATATGGTAGGAGATTACATGAACTACATGAAATGATATCCCCTTCTCTCTCGTTTGTGCGAAAATTATATTAATAAATAAGTCTATATAAGGGTCACTTAAAAGTACTTAACTTCAGACATCAATGACGTGACAATTTCTTTATTTTTTTTTCTGATTGCATATATATACATATCGTCATGAGTGCAATTTGTTTACGTCACGTTTAAATGAAAACAATTCATTATCTTATCTAACAAATAACCTTATCTTGAGAGATGCATTTTTGTTTTTCTTTTATTTGTTTATACTATACAATTATGTAATTTTATAACCGTTATACATTATAGGTACTATTAAAAAATCATTTTTTTCAATAGAAAAATTTTTGTTTAATTTTTTGGGAAATAAAATTTTTTCTTGTAATGTAACCTATACTCTCTAAATCTGAATCAGTCATATTTCACTGATTAGCAGTAAAAATTAGTTTAGTTTAGTTTAGTTTAGTAAAAATTAATTAGTTGAAATTTCTTGATTCAATTAGTAAAATATCAATTACTGATTGAATCAGTAATATAAACAGAGAAAATTAAGAGGCATTAAAATAAGCTGCAAGGCTTCTTATTTTAATCCAATTTTGCTTATTTTAATACCAAAATGGATTAAAATAAGCAAAATTGGATTAAAATAAGAAGCGTTGCAGCTTATTTTAATGTCTTTTAATTTTCTGTGAATATATGGCGACGGGCGCAAAATCTACTGATTTAATAGTTAATTTTAAAGGTTATGTTATATACAAATTAATGTTTTACTCTCTAAATCTGAATTAGTAAAAATATTTACTAATTTAAATTAGTCACTCACTTTTTGCTTTAGAATTAGTTAAATTTTACTAATTGTTAATTAAAGTTACTAATAATTAGTAAAATTTTACTAATTAGTTAAATTTACTAATTTAATTTACTTTTTAGTGAGTCACTAATTCAAATTAGTAAACATTTTTACTAATTCAGATTTAGAGAGTACATAAGTTATTTTCTACTGCTTGCATATTCACTAATTATATTAGTAAATTTCAAAAAATAACTGAAACTTCAGTTAAAATAAAAAGTACTGATTGAATTAGTAAAATTTCTACTGATTCAGATTTAGAGAGTATATACACTGAAAAACAACATTTTTTTGATAATCGGCTACTTGACTATTACCAAATAAATATTTATAAAATAATTATTATTTCAGTTAACTAAATGGTATTTGTTTCAAATACAAAAATCATTGGTCCAAATAAATAGTTTATTTTATTCAATTATTTGATTTCAAAAATTATTATAAATATTTATTTGATGTCAAGTAACCGATTATTTGAATCAATTAAATTTTTTTTTTGTCGGTGATATATATATAATTTGCTTGATTGTTTTTAGAATCTGTATTGTGGTTGAGTACAGAGGACAATGATGATGAACAATTATTAAGTTGTCGAGATTCAGATTCAATTTTACGTTCAGACGGTGAATCTTGGCAGCAAGGTGAATGCGTAAATTGTATTTGTGAAAAAGGAAAAATTTCATGTCAAGCAACAATGTGTAAAAGTTGCGAGAAACCAACATCACCAGCACCTGGAGAATGTTGTCCTCGTTGTTCTACAACGCTTCAAAATATCGCCACCGTTAAATGTAAAACGCTCACTGATTGTAAATTAAAATGCACCAATGGTTACATTAATGACACCAACAATTGTCCAATTTGTCAATGTATTAACACAAAGGTATATATTTCAATTTTTAATTAATTTTTTTTCATAATTATGAAAAAAAAAATTTAATACGAGGAAACAAAATTAGACAAGATAATTTTTTTTTTATAAACTAGAATGTTAAAGTCTTCTTCCTCTTTATTATTCTATTATTGCTATAATGAAAACTCAATTTCTTGAGTGGGAGAAAGAGAGAGAAAGAGAGAAAGTGTATGTCAGAGTACAACTTTGATAATTTGCTTTGCACAAGTAAATTTTTAATCAAATTTTGCTTTTAATGAGAAAATTTAAAATGAAGTTTAGTGCCACAGAGAGTATGGTTCTCTTGACAGAAAGTGCAAGTTTTCATGCTAAACTTAGCTATTGTCGTTCAAGTTTCTGAAACGTGGACCGGAAACTGGACGAGACGAAGATGAATAGCTGAACAGCGGAAATTCGCGTCTTGGACGAAATACGTGCGCGAGAAAACTCAAAACCACTTCAAACCTTCAAAAGAGAGAAAAAAAGAGAGAGAGAGAAAGCGCAAAAAAAGTTCTTTTTACTAGTCGATGATGATATCGAGTTTTATTGCATCCTCGAAAACGAATAAGTTTTTTCTTCCTCTCTTTTTTTAAAAGTTTTTAATTATTTTCTTAAAACAGTTTTTTTCATTGAATTTTTCAAATAAGTCCACTGTTTTAAAAATTCGTTTAGAGTGTATAAGTGTGTGTTAGGTATTTTTCTCAACAGCCTCCACTTTCCTCTTTCACCGCACCTGAAACTGAGTTTTTCTTTTTAAAATGTTTATAGTTTTCTGAAGAGTTTTACATCTGAGTTTTTTTTTTTAAACTCCTTTTATTTTACATTTAAAGTTTATAGTCAATTTAAAAGTTTTAATCAACATTAAAGTTTGTTCAGAAGGTTGATTGAAAATTGACGTCAAGTTAAACTTGTGGTTAGTAAATATTTTAAGTAACAAGCTTTTGATCGTTCATCTTTAATGTTAAATATAAGGAGTCAAAAGTGAAGTTATATATAGTTATTTAAACTTTTAAAAGCTGAAAAAAAGTATATTTATTTATATATACAATTTTGAAACAACTTGCCGGAATATATAATTTTATAAGAGAAAAAAAATCTTTTCTATTTTCAGATATTGACAGACGTTGAAAATAAAGAGAAAAAGATTTGTCCACAATTGCCACACTGTGGACTAAATTGTGAGCTTATTGAAGATGAGGACGGTTGTCGTGTGTGTGGATGCACAACTGATATTTCGACAATGTTTGATAGTGAAAATCATGAGAAGAAGGAAAAGAAGAATGAAGAAAAAGAAGAAGAAGAGGACAAAATCGTCTGTCCGGAGCTCAAGTGTGATCTTCACTGTGAAAACGGTCTCCTCATGGATGAGAATGATTGCACTCTTTGCCAATGCAAACCCTCCCATCCAGGATGTCCGGCCATGAGCGATTGCAAAAAGAAGTGCTCTTTTGGATACAAGGTCAACAAACGGGGATGCTCGGTAAGAAAATTCTCTTCACACTTTATCATTTTTTCTTTTCGTGTCAGAAATACTATATATATATACAGAAAACACAATTACAATAAAAGAAAAAAACAGTCGGTATAAATCTTCCAAGAGAAAAACATTTTCTCTCATAAAAAAAAAAAATGTTATTGGAAACTTTATGCTTTTTATAAATCTTCAAAAGATAATTTATATTTTTCTTCACTCAAAAATTTTCGAAAACAAATTTTTAAATAAATAAATCAAAATAAATAGATTCACGCGTTTTAACTTGAAATCGATATAATATGGGAGATCGCAAAATATAGGAGAATGGGTTATATAAATTTTGATCTATACACAGGTTTGTCGATGTCGAGCATCTTGTATCGATCAACACAATAAGACACATCCGGAAGGATCAAGGTGGGAACTAAATTCTTGTACAACGTGTAGTTGCGATGCAAGTGGACGACTCAGCTGCAAAGAGAAGCCCCCGAAGCCTAGCAATTGCTGTCCCATTTGTCCAATCACAGTGAGTAATGTGTCCGCTATCGTGTGCACGATCCTTGACCAACATAAAACAATACTGTTTCCTCCGTTTACATCCCTTATATAGTGTATATACATATAACATGAGAATTTTCTTATCATGATAAACTCGATAAACCCCAGAATCCAATATTCTTGTTATTATTAGTAATCTCTCTCTTTCTCTCTCTTTTTCTCTTTTATTTACAGTTATTGAGAATTTTTTTCCTTCTTTTATAGACTAATAGAAAATAATAACGTTATTAGTTTTACATATTTTCAATCATTTTTACAATTAGATAATAACAAAAACAGGTATACAAGAAGGTATAAATTAGGTATGAATTAGGTCAGATTAAAATTGACAACTAAAAATTCTACTAAAAAAATTAGGCCACATGAGAATAGACCAAATAAAGATTTGATCACTCTCTAAATTTGAATTAGTAAAAATGTTTACTAATTTAAATTAGTGACTCACTTTTTGCTTCTGAATTAGTAAAATTTTACTAATTGTTAGTAAAAGTTACTAATAATTAGTAAAATTTTACTAATTGAGAAGCAAAAAGTGAGTCACTAATTCAAATTAGTAAACATTTTTACTAATTCAGATTTAGAGAGCACATAAGAATTCAGATATTATGTTTATGTTTTGTAAGTAATTAATAAACATAAGAATTAGGCCAAATAAAAATTAGGTTGTATGAGAAATAAGGCAAATATAGATTACACCGTATATACTCTCTAAATCTGAATCAATAGAAATTTTACTAATTCAATCAGTACTCTCTAAATCTTAATTAGTAAAAATTTTTACTAATTTAAATTAGTGACTCACTTTTTGCTTTAGAATTAGTTAAAGTTTACTAATTGTTAGTAAAAGTTACTAATAATTAGTAAAATTTTACTAATTCAGAAGCTAAAAGTGAGTCACTACTCTCTAAATCTGAATCAGTAGAAATTTTACTAATTCAATCAGTACTTTTCATTTTAACTGAAGTTTCAGTTATTTTTTGAAATTTACTAATATAATTAGTGAATATGCAAGCAGTAGAAAATAACTTATGTACTCTCTAAATCTGAATAAGTAAAAATGTTTACTAATTTGAATTAGTGACTCACTAAAAAGTAAATTAAATTAGTAAATTTAACTAATTAGTAAAATTTTACTAATTATTAGTAACTTTAACTAACAATTAGTAAAATTTAACTAATTCTAAAGGAAAAAGTGAGTCACTAATTTAAATTAGTAAACATTTTTAATAATTCAGATTTAGAGAGTAAAACATTAATTTGTATATAACATAACCTTTAAAATTAACTATTAAATCAGTAGATTTTGCGCCCGCCGCCATATAATTTATATTACTAATTGAATCAGTAAATTTCAACTAATTATCAGTTGCTCAATTCTCGTTATGGCAATTAGTAGATTTCTACTGCTAATCAGTGAAATATGACTGATTAAGATTTAGAGAGTAATTCAAATTAGTAAACATTTTTACTAATTCAGATTTAGAGAGTACTTTTCATTTTAACTGAAGTTTCAGTTATTTTTTGAAATTTACTAATATAATTAGTAAATATATAAGCAATAGAAAATAACTTATGTAAATTAGTAATTTGTATATAACATAACCTTTAAAATTAACTGTTAAATCAGTAGATTTTGCGCCCGCTGCCATATGTTTATATTACTGATTCAATCAGTAATTTATATTTTACTAATTGAATCAGTAAATTTCTACTAATTATCAGTTGCTCAATTCTCGCTATGGCAATTAGTAGATTTCTACTGCTAATCAGTGAAATAGACTGATTCAGATTTAGAGAGTAGGAGTTATGTTTAGGATTAGGCCCGATTAGACTAAAATAGAAATAGATTAGGTTATGAATAAGATAGAGATAAATAAAAATTAGGACAAATAAGAATTAGATTACGAAAAGATTAAATCAAATGAGAATAGAATTAGTCGCTAAATGAGTATTAAAACAAAGTAAAGATTAAGGCAAATAAGAATTAGGTTAACTACAGATTAGAATAAATAAAGATTTAGGTCAATTAAGGAATAGGTTAAATATACAAATTAGGTCAAATAAGAAGTAGGTTAAATACAAATTAGGCAAGTGAGAATTAGCCCACTCTCTAAATTTGCATCAGTAAATTTTTTAACTAATTTGAATTACTCTCTATATTTGAATTAGTAAAAATGTTTACTAATTTGAATTAGTGACTCACTTTTTGCTTTAGAATTAGTTAAATTTTACTAATTGATAGTAAAAGTTACTAACAATTAGTAAAATTTTATTAATTGAGAAACAAAAAGTGAGTCACTAATTCAAATTAGTAAACTTTTTTACTAATTCAGATTTAGAGAGTAGTAAATTACATTTTGCTTAAATTTTACTAATTCGATATAGTAAATCTTTTTTTCTATTATTTAGTTAAATTTAACTAATTCAGAAAAGTGAGTCATTTTTTTTTGTTATACAATTATCGATGTATAATTTTTACACAAACGCAAAAAAATCTTCACCTAGATCAGCGATATGTTTAACTAAAGCAAAAGTTTTCGCTATTCTAAAGAAATATATCGCTGTTGTAGAGAAACTATAGTCGCTGTTTTAGATGAAGACTTTTTTTTCCGCACTCTCTAAATCTGAATTAGTAAAAATGTTTACTAATTCAAATTTAGAGAGCATGTTTGTATAAAATTTATATATAAAAAATAGATTTTACAGATAGAATTTATATGTAAAATTGTTCTTGTTTTTTTTATATAATTTATTTGTTACGGCACTCCTATAGCTTGTTTTGTATTTATGCGGATCTCGCGCTCTTGTATTCGATAATAGATTGCAGACAAGTGTATAAAATAAATGTATATATATTTAGTTTAAAAAATTCATTCTCCATTTTGTTTTAATTTAATATTTAATTATTTATGTCAAAATTTTTAAGTGTCATGCAAAATGAATTTTGTTTTTTTTTCTACTTTAAATTAATTCATTTGAATAAAAATTTCAAAATTGACTGCATTTCACGTTTTTTTTTAACTGCAGACAATTTATTCGTTCCAGCAATTTAAGCGTTGATCTCGTTTAGTTTGTTCTGCAACACACTTCTGGTGCATTCAATTAACAACCTCATATTTATGCATGCTATACAGAATACTGTCGAAATGATTTCAAAGTAGTTTTGCACGTTATATATATTTATATTAAGTTTTGGTCGTCTTATTTATTATTTATTTATGCTAATTGATAAAATTAATATATGCATTAATATTTTCATGTTATATAATTATTATAAAAAAAAAAAAAATTTCAAATTTATTGATTTTTTCTTTTCGTTAATTTTTAGATGGGAAATGAGACGGAAAATTCCTATTCAGGTGTCAAAAGCTGGGGCACAGTACCAATAACACTAATCATCATATTAGCATTGTTATGCATTATCCTTATCATTCATATAGTGAGGAATAAATTTCGGGTTCGATTATCACCAACCGCCACTTCCTATACGCCATATCCATCTCAATACTATAAATGTGTGCCAATATATGACACTCCTGTTCATCAAAATGAAAAAATGGTTTGCCTGTGAGAAATATATGTATGTTTCTCTGCAATATGATGGGATATATGAAACTATCGAATCTATCCTCCGAGTCACTGCCAATAATAAATAAATCAATATTTTTTTTTTTCACACAAAAAATAAAATAGCTTTCTAAAAATTTTTAAATCTAAAATCTAAAATACATTAAAAAATTAATTCTTTATAAAAGTATTTTAAAAAAATATTTCTAAATTTGCATCAATTTTTTTTTTTCATGGAATCACTAAAAACAAAAGTGTTTTCTTTAAAAAAGAAAATTACACAAGTATTGTGTATAAATTATCTTAGGTTAATTATTTGATGCTGATAAGGTTTATATATATGTATAGATTGTACTATTTCAAGTCGATTCGATGCAATTCTGAAAATACGATAATTGGAACAAGTACCATGTACTTGAAATAAACTCGAATTCTAGCGCAGTGGTTCGGAAATTGCAATTCAAGCTGCAAAGTCTCTAATTGGAATCTACGATTTTATTGTAGTTTCAAAAGGCAATATAAGCTATACTCTGGACTGAAACCCCCGTGGCGTGACTCGTGAGAGAGATATATAGAGAAAAATGTCACATTTTATAAGCACCTATATAAATGTTACAGTCTGTACGTCCGAGACTCATCCTTATACAGCTGTTGTATCAAAAAAAAAATAAAAAAAAAAAAGTTAGACGAAATCTCCAACAAGCTGTGATGAAAAACTTGTAAAATATAAATATTGTCACAATCTCAAATTGATATTAATGTGAAACAAAAAAATACAAATTACTAATGTCTTTTAAAAAAAAAAAAATTTTTTAGGTACAAATTTACTGTAAAAATGGACTATTAGTATTTAAGTATTTAATTCCTAGTTTCTTTGATCTCTGGACCATTGCGACATTATTTTAATTTAACGAACTCTTTAAAAAAAAAAAAATTTAATATTTGGTAAGATTTAAATGGATTAATGCTTAGTTTTCAGAGCGACACAAAACCTATAATCAAAGATTAATTTTTCATTCTGTTTAATATTTACTGAAATTATAATGAGTTCGTTATTTACTCATCGAACTGCGCGCGCAATTGTTTGTTAATGTGTGAATGTGATATAAATATTTGTATAGATTTTATGTGGTTAAATATTCATTTTTTTTGCAGCTGTAATCTCAGTCATATATTTTTTTTTTTTGTAAAATTTTATTTTTTATTAAGGTGTCCTTCGATCCTCTCAAAATAACAACAGAAAATAGAATTTATTTAAAAAATAAAGCAATACTCTAGTCATATATGTAATGCTTGAAAATCCATTCTGGTTTAATTCAAAAATGAAATGTTTTTTCATTATAAAAAAAAAAAAATCAATAAGTTTTAATTTCCAGAGACTTATTATTAATTTATTTATATCTAATTTTCATGAGTACACAATGTTAATGTTAGGTTAAAATTAAAACTGTGTTATTAGACTACTTTCTCTTTCTCTCTTTTATCTTTCCTATAATTTTAATTTTATTATCAGTTACAAGAACTAAAATTTTTTTCTTTTTCTCTACATTTGAGTCAAAATAGCTTCCTAGAAAAATGCTTGAAAAAAATTAGAAAAGAAACTTCCTATATATTAATATAATTGTAAGATATTTTTAATTTAAATTCTTAAATATAGGAATTTATTAAAATTTCGAAAAAAGAGAAGAAAAATTTGGCAAAGAGAAATTTTTTCTTTATCCAAAAAAAAAGCTTTGTATTAATTATCCGCAACTGTAGTATTTTTAGATAATAGACGCATTTTTGAGTTTTGAAAAAAAAATAATAAACTCAAAATAAATTATGTAAAGCGAATCGTTTTTTTTTTAAGTCTAATGTTGAGAAAATGTTCTCAAATAAATAAGGTATATCTAATAAAAGTATTTCCTATATCCAGAAATCTTAATCTTTCATCGATTTTTTGGATTGTAAAATATAAAAAAAAACACTGTATGTAAAATAATATTGCTTCCTGAAACTTATCAAAAAAAAAAAAATTGTCTTATTTTTTCTGAGTTTAAAAAAAAAATTGACAAATGTACTTCTTTTACATGCTCTTTTTAATATAGCTAAATTATAGAATTTCAATTTTCTATTAGAATTTATTAAACGTGATAAAATGTATTGTACGTATTATACTTAAAAAAAAACTTACACATATCCATGTACCTATACACGCAATGCTATATATAAATAGATGATTGTCTTCTTAAACTGATATATATTTTTTCAATGTTACACTGACATACATCGACAAGCGACACAAAAAAAAAAAAAATAGTAGAAAGTTTAGAATTATTTATAATGATCAATATAATTATAATAAACGCGTATACATATATACATATAATTATAATATATAATAATTGTCGAAAAAAAAAAAAAAATGTATAGGTAAAATTTCGTATATATGTGTATGTACCTTGGAGACAATATTTATTACAATTTGAACTATATTATATAATTAATAAGAATAAGAGTAAGCGTATCAAAAAAAATTTATGGAAAACTATGTAATATTTAAACAAAAAATTCATTAATTCAATATCTGTTAATTTGGAAAGTTAATATAAACATTAAAAAACAAAAACTTTATTTTATACGAATAACATATCCCAGTTAGGAAAAAAAAAATTTGTAAAGATCATCATTTTCGAAAATAAATTATTAATTTAAACAACGACCAATAGAAACAAGAAAACTATATTAAAGATAAATAATATTGCATAGAGAACAAAAAAAAAAAAATCATTTTAGAGAGTTCCATTTTGACGAAAAAAAAAAATCTTTCCTTGTAATCCATCAAAAATTATAGGGATGGTAAAATCAAAATCGAATATCAATTTTGAAAATTAAAAATTCGACTTTTAATCGATTATAATCGAGATTTAAACTAAAAATCGATTTCGATTCCAATCTCTATAAATATTATCGCAAATATAAACGCGCATAGACGTAACAACGTTAGCTCTTTGTATATGTTAAATAAAATTTAATAAAAAGCTAAATAAAATTGTTGATACGATAAGAATAGCATATAGACTATTTTTTTACACTAGTTCTCTCTCTCTCTCTCTCTCTCTCTCCATAATTTTTCTTCAATAATTTTTAAATAGTGACTAATATAAATAAATTATCGCAGTGAATATATTCTCAAGAGAATCTAATTTATATTTTCAAATAAAAATTTGTATAATTTATATTTAAATAAAATTTGCATAATTTATATTTAAATAAAAATTTGCATAATTTATTTAGAATAAAATTATGCATTTTTAAATAGTTATAGAATGACTAATAAAAAATTATGCATAAATTTTGAGATTTGTTTTTCAAAAAAAAAAAAAATGTTTTAAATATTAAAATTTTAAATTTAACTTGAATTTAATACAAGTGGTGCCATCTTGTAAATTGTAGTTAAAGCTCGTGAAAAAGGAAAAAAAATTGTGTAATATTTTTCTTTTATTATAGAAGAACAAAGTTCAATTAATAATAATATTGTAATAAACATCAAGTTTACTCAATCAATTATCATAATTTTTAATCCATATTGTTATTTCTATATTTATTACACTGATAAGATAGTGAGTTTTTCTCACGTAGTTACCATCGAAAGATAAGAGGCAAAAATAAATTTTAATATCAGTTTTTTCAAAAAATAAAGAAAATACTAATTATTAAAAAAAAAATTTTAATTATTTTTTAAAATAAACAAATTTCCAGTTTTTTTTTCTATAAATTTCTTTTTTATCAAATTAATAACAAAAAATGATTAATGAAAATTAAAATTTTCATTTGAATTAAGTGGTTTAAATGAATAATAAACTTTTAATTATAATGATAGAATATCTCCCCTATACTTAATTTGTTTCGCAATAATTTTGTGTATGTCAATAAAGATATTTAGTGCTTGTATTACAAAACTAAGCTTAAGACATAATTCATAAAATATCGAATTCTAAACAAATAAAAGTATACAATTAAACTTGAAATTAATTTTTTAATATAAATTATTTTGAGATATGATAAAAATTTGATGTGAAAAATATAAAAAGTATAAAATCAACAGATAACATTATTTTTATAGTATTCAGTTCATTTACATTGCACTAGATGTCTGGATCCTAAAACCAGTTTTATATTTTCCCTCAAAAAAGTAAAAGAATTAAATGAAGTGTGCTCCAAAAGTGAATGAGTTGTATTCTTATAGTGTTGCAGTAGTTTATAAAGTTAAAAAATAAAAAAAGGTAAGTAAAAATTTTTATCGAATAATTTATATAACCATTGTAACTTCAAATCTATAGATCTTATTTTTTAAATATCAAATTTTCCATAAATTATCACATAACCTCCAAATATATTAATTGATTATTTTGTTATAAATTATTTGCACACACGATCTGATGATCGCATCAACTAATTATTTATAATAAATTTTTTTTAAATTAAAATTATATTATATCATAGAAAAATATAATTAAATAATAAAAATATATATTTTTAAAAAAATATTTCATATTTGCTTAAGAAGCACTCACGTGTTTATAGTTTTCCATAGTATGCACTTTCTCCTGAAGAATAAAACATCCATCTGCAAAAAAAAAAAAGAGAAAAACATATCTTAATATAATTATTTTTAAATAATATTTTACACTATTTTGTATTTAATTTTCTTTAAATATGCCTAAAGAAATGTTTGACATATTCAAAAATTCAAAAATGTGAATATATTAAACTACTGAAATCAAATTTATTGTAGAAAAAGAAAATCAATGAATTTCAAATTTACCGCCACCTTTTCTACTTAAATTTTTACAATTCTTTTTTTTTGTATTTAATTTTCAAAACAATAGAAATTTTTACATAAAAAATGTAAAGTTAAAAAAATATTTCACATTCCTCACCCCCCTTAAAAAAAGTTCTGAAAACTTTTTATTTTGATTGTACTTGAAATTATTTAAATAATATTTAGAATAAAATATTGTAAAATTTAAAAAAAAACATGTTTGACACTGAATTATATAATAGCATGAAGTATACCATTATCTTGTTAGTATAATCAGTAAACAATTTTTCTATAATAGATATAAACGCATTTATTTTTAATTCTTATAATATTTTAAAAACTAAAAAATATATTATTTGTTAAAATTATGTAACATCAATTTTGTTAAAAATTATTTAATTATAAGTCAAAATTTAATAGAATTTACCGATTCATTATTCTTTTAATTCTTATCGTTGTCATTTTTGATAACTATTTCTTTTTTTTTTAATACAATTTTAATGTTCCAAATTTTTTAAAAAGTAATTTGTAAATATAATTTGTTTCAAGAAAAGAGAAAGTTTTTAAACAAATTGAAATTTTTTTAAAAAATGATTTACGAATTAAAAAATAAATAAAAAATTAAATATAAATTAAAAATATTAAACAGTAAAGTTGTAAAAAATATTTTAAAAAAAAAATAATAATAAATAATTAGTTACAGATTATGGAAAGAATATTAGAAAAATGTGTGAAAATTGTGAAACACATTTCAGTGGAGCCAACAATGTGGCTTTACATGATGGCATTTATGACCACTTCTGTAATTGAACAAGCATTTTTTGTTTATAAAGCTTGTCGTGTAGATCATGAATTTAGCGAAGAAATCTGTAGAAATATAACAGCAAACAAAACATTAAATTCTCAAGTACAAGTACGTAAGAATTTTTTCAAAAATTCTAATAAAATATTTATCGAAAGAATAATATTTTTTTTTAATATAATTACACTGAAAAAAAAATTTATTTGATTCAAATACTCGATTATTTGAGTATTATCAAATAAATATTTACTTGAACCAAATAATTTTTATATTTGAATTAAATAAATTATATTTGAACCAATAATTTTTGTATTTGAAACAAATACAATTTAATTGGCTCAAATAATAATTATTTGACACAAATAAATATATTTATTTGATAATAGTCAAATAATCGAGTATTTCACTCAGAGAAATGGTATATTTGTCTCCGAGCCTACTAACTCATTTATTTGTTGCAAATATATTTTATTTCATTGAAATAAAAAATTTATTTGTTGCAAATATATTTTATTTCATTGAAATAAAAAATTTATTTGAGGCAAAGAAAAATTTATTTCTGACAAATAAAACTTTTATTTACGCCAAATAAATAAGTTAGTAGGCTCTGAGACAAATATACGTTTATTTAACTCAAATATATTTTATTTGGTTCAAATAAATCATTTCTCTGCGTGTTGAATCAAATAAATTTTTTTTACAGTGTAATATCACGGAAAAAAAATAAAAAGTAATTTTTACTATTTTCATAGTAAAATGGGAACTGTTCGAAGTTTCTGCACACATCTCTGGCAACTTTTACTCCAAAAATAGTAAAATTTACTTCAGAAATAGTAAAAATTACTACGGAACAGTAAAATTTACTACAAAAATAGTAAATTTGACTATTTTTGGAGTAAAAGTTGCCAGAGATGCGCAGAAACTTCGAACAGTTCCCATCTTACTATGAAAGTACGAAAAATTACTTTTTCTTTTTTTCCGTGTAATTAAAATTCAGAGAAATAAAATTCCAGATGAAAAAAAAATGAATCTAAAGATCCGAATTGACAAAATTTACAGATTACTGTTTCAAAATTTCATCAATGGAATGGAATAGCATCTCATGTATTGCCAATAATTTTAGCATTTTTCATTGGAAATTGGAGTGATCGTCGAGGGAGAAAATTACTTCTAATTCTCGGTTTATTTGGCAAACTTATTTATTCATTTATGATTGTTATAAATACAGTAATGCCATCATGGAATATCAATATGATTATATATACTGCTAGTATACCATCCACATTATTTGGAGCAGATGTTGCAATTTTTGCCGCTTGTTTTGCTTATATTTCTGATATCTCAAGTGTTGAGGACAGAACATTTAGAATTACAATATTAGATGCTGTATATTTAAGCTCAATGCCTATGGGTATTATTTTTTATTTCATTTTTTTTTTTTAATTTTAATAATACCATTATTATTTAAATCATAATTTTCTTTTTCTAGGTATTGCTCTTGGCTCCTATTTATTTAATCACGTTGTAAATTTTTCCTATACAATAATGTTTAGTATAAATTCATCTCTTTTAGTATTGGCAATTATTTATTCTCTATTAAATTTAGAATGGCAAACAAATACTAAACAACAATCAATAAAAGGAAGAAATGTATTTTTAGATTTTTTTGACAAAAATCATGTAATTGAAACAATAAAAACTTTAGTGAAACGACGCGAATTAAATGGTAGGCTTTGTTTGTGGATATTATTTTTAGGTATGTCACTTTATGCATTTCAAAGGGATGAAAAACCAATGAGCTATTTGTATACACAAATTATGTTTAAATGGAATGTCGCTGATTTCAGTCAATTTCGAATATTTCAATCAAGTTTATTTGTTATTGGTTAGTATATAGAGAAAAATTTAATTAACAAATTTAATTACATACCTAAATATAAATGTTGGATTAATAATAAAATTTCTAGCTATGCTGTTGGGTGTACCAATAATGAGTAAAACATTCAAATTAAATGATACATGGATAGTGATAATTGGCACTTTATCTCATTCATTAGCAAGAATAGTTTTTTGTCTTGCTAAAAAACCAATTTTCTTCTATATAGGTAAGTAAAAAAAAAAATTTTTGATTTTACATTTTTTTACAAAAATAAATGACTAATATAACCTAAATTTATTACTTTGACTTTAGGTACAATTTTTGGAGCATTTGGACCAATTGTAGCTCCAGTATTGAGATCAATGATTTCCAAAGAAGTACCACCGGAAGAAAGAGGTATAAATAAATTTAAATTAAAAAACAAATTTTTTGTATACCTAATCTATTTATTTTTAGGAAAAATATTTTCCATATTGTCAGTTTTTGACAATGCTGTACCAATATTTAGTGGAGTTATGTATAGTCAATTGTATAATGCAACTATAATTAGTATGCCCAGTGCTATTTATTTGCTGACAATTGGTTCACAAATTACTGTCTTGTTTTTAGTATTGTAAGCATTATTATTATTATTTTATACATTGACTATTTTTAGAAACAAACCAGTAATTATACATTTCTTTTACAGAATTATTTATTTTTTTCCTCGATCGCAAAGACTGAACGATAAAAATGAAGTAAATGTATAAAAATTTATTCAATACGGATATATATATATATATGTATATAATAGTGGGTAAAAATGTAATTTTCACAAATTTAACTATTTTTAGAACTCATTTACAATATTGCATATAATAAATTTTAATCTCGTTATACGCGTACAAAGATTTATAAGCATAATAAAAAATCAAGACTATTGTAAATATTTTATTAAGAAAAAATTTTCAAAAAAAAAATTATAATATTTACCGACTGATGATGAGAATGTTAATTCCAAATATTTTTTTATAATAATTAAAATAAAAATAACATTTTTTTTGAAAAATTAGACAAATTTACTTTCTTTAAAAAAAAAAAAATTTTCCTCTCTCTAAAAAAATATATATTAAAAAGTTGTTACAATGTTTAATCAAATAAATGAAATCTTGTTTACTATATATACTCGAAGAGTAATGTTTACTATCATATGCTATCTGTTTGTAATACTATCATCATTGATCATTTATTATACATATTATTTCAATATTTATTTATTTTATTAAAAATTCAATTTATTATTATTAAAAATTTAATTTATTATTATTAAACTAATTACTGTACACTTATTTTATTATTTAATTTCTCATGTCCACTTTGTCAGAATATATGTGTACTTAATCACAGTGAATTTGTCTATAAACAAAATTCATTTTTATTGGCATTGTTCCGCTTAAAGCAAGACGTGTATGAAAATAAATTCAAAGTTAAAAAAAATAAACCACACATAATCGGACTATTCTTTTTCACTTGACGTCATAAGAGAAGAGAGAGAGAGAAAAAAAAAGAGAAACAGTCAGAAGATTTAAAAAATTTTCAATGTAAAATTGTAATAAAATTAATATTACATTTATTCCATTACTATTTTAAAAAAATCTTACTTTCTCAAATAGAAAATAACGAATTATAAAAACTTTTTAGTCGGGGAAAATAAATAATTTTTACTTTAATTGGAAAATTTTAGTTTCAGAGAGGATCAAAAAAAAATAATTATAACTATTGTTTCTATTCTAATTTTTTGCTATGCATTTTTATAAAAAATTATGTTTAATGTATTTTTCAGATCATTCGAATTCATCATCTCTAGCTCTGCCTCATCTCACAGTTTATTATTGTAGAGCGAAACCTTCCTTCCGTTTCACTCTTTCTCTTTTCTCTCTCACGTCCTCGAACTCACCACAAAGTTTTTGAATTTTTATCATTCAAAAAATATTTTTAAAAAAATTATTCAATTAAAATAATTGTTAACTATTATCAAATAAATTTATTTAATTGAATCAAATAATATTTATTTGCAAATAGTTAATAACTGTTTTAATGAAAAAAAAAATTTCAGTATATTTTTTTTAAATAACTAAAAAAATTAAACAATATTTTTTTTAAATAACTAAAAAAAATTAAACAATATTTTTAAAAATATCGAAATAAATTTTTTTTTATAATTAATAATAATTTATACTTTATTTTGTATTTCATTAAAAAATTAAAAAGAAATAGTTATCCAAAAAAAAAGTTGGTCGATGAAAGTCATTAACTTGTCATCTTGCACTTAACTCGTCAGCTTACACATCGTGCAAGTATTAAAGTAATGTATAAAATAACGTGCATTCCATATAAATATTTCATGTAGAAATTTGTAGAATCAAAAAATTTAATTTTAATAAAAAAAATTTATATTCATAAATTTAAAAATATATTTTATAAAAAAAATAATAAAATTTTGTTTTTGTCACATTATTTTCACTTTTAGATTAAAAAAAAAAAGTATTAAATTAAAATATTATAAATTAATAATATTTTGTTATTTAATATCGCGATAAGAAGTTTCTTCACGTATATATTTTTGTTTTGAACTTATCATATATGAGATGATGCCCGCACGTTCATATACATATAATACGACTTGAGAATATCTCAGAGTATAGAAGGTATTTAAAAGGGAAATATCAATGTAAAATTAATGTCAGTTTTGCTTTATAAAAGCCGACACAGTTATGCGATGATACATCGTGCTGAATGATATATCTTTAAAAATAAAAAGTATATTTTTTACTAAATGATTTTAAATCCATTTGTTAATTGTATAAAAATTTTTACTTATTATATATAATTTATAATTAAATTTTCATTATTTATGTAGAATTTCAAATTTTGTATTATCAAGTTTAACTTTTATTTTTGTATTATTTCACTGAAAAAATAATTTATTTGAATCAAATATATTTGCCAATAATCAAGTATAACGATTATTTGAATCAAATAAATTTTATTTTTCAATTCTAATTTTTACCTCATTAAAATAAAGGAAATGAAAAATAATTCACAACAATAAAAAAAAACATCTGCAGTTTCTCTCAAGAGTTTTAAAAAAAAGAAAAAAAAAACCACACATGTTGTTTAATATACATTGGTTTAAAAACTTCACAATGGAAAAATGTTTACGATGGGCTTTGATCCTGTCGTAAAATTGAAAATACACTAAAAGGGAAAAGAAAAATGTTTTATGGTAGGGCTTGGCAAACTAACAGATAATTTCTTTAAAGAAATCTGTCAGCAACATGCGTCTTCTAATTTTTGCCGCGAGTCCAGATTTTACAAAAATTTTTTAAAACGGATTACCCTCATTATCATATTTTATAATCATATACATTTATATGCTACTAATAACCATAATTAATAGGAGTAAAAACTCATTGAATTAAAAATAGAAAAAATTGTTTTTTTTTATCAAACAAAATTTAATTTTTTAACTTTACATATTCATTTTTAAATTACAAATGAAGAATAATAATTATAATAAACGTTGATGAAACATACATATATAAATATTGATGAAACGATGAAATATGAAAATAATTATAAATTTTGCATTTTTTAATATTTATCTATATTAAAATTGTACACCTTATAAAAACTAACTTTTTTGGTTTAATTTTTAAACACACTCTCTTAATCTATCATTAATTTTGAATTGACTGACTTTTTTGATAAGTATATTAAAATTTTGCTAATGAATTACTTTTTGGTAATTTATTAGTAAATTTTTACATATACACCCAGAGAAATGATTTATTTGAACCAAATAAAATATATTAGAGTTAAATAAACGTATATTTGTCTCACAGCCTACTAACTTATTTATTTGGCGTAATTAAAAATTTTATTTGTCAGAAATAAATTTTTCTTTGGCTCAAATAAATTTTTTATTTCAATGAAATGAAATATATTTGCAACAAATAAATGAGTTAGTAGGCTCGGAGACAAATATACCATTTCTCTGAGTGTATATATAGGTCAGTGGCTAATTCAAAATTACTTAATTTTACCAATTCAAATATTTACAGATATGAAATTTTTGGTCAATTTCCTATATTTATAATATTTTATTTTACATGGCATATTTTACGTGATCATAAAACATGGATGTGGGAGGTGTGGATGTGTGGGAATTAGAGGCAACAGCGCCTGGTATAGTTAATCCTATATTACTTAATCCTAAGTGCCCCAAAGAAGTGGATAACGAAGGATGTCCAAGATGAGAGGGTTTTCTTTCTACAATACCACCACCAGAATTATTTGTACACGAAGTTGTACATTGCATTCTCAGACCTAAAACAAAAAAGAAAAAAATTGTTTAAAATTTTATTTTCTTCAATAAATTTGCATTTTATCAAAATAAAAATAAAATTATTATTAAATTTCAGTGGGAAAAAAAAAATCGAAGACAATTTAAAGATTTAAATCAGAAATGTAAAGTACACAATAAATGTGAAGAGTTCAGCATATTTTCAAGTGGGTTTCACTTTCAAGTAGGTGCTTCACTCGTGGCTCGTTTTTACATATCTTTTCTATATACATACCAACAAAGATTTGGACGTTTAATCTTTTAAAAATTTTAATATTTCTTTTTATTTCATAAGTTTTCTTTTTATTATATCTATAATATTATATTTATTATATTATAGTTTTTTATTCTCAAAAGTTAATTCTATGAAAATTTTACATTTTAAAAATCTGGTAATTTTTTTTTTATAAAAAAAAATGGTCCATTGGAGAAGTAAAAAGAAATGATAACGTCCATCACTATATAACAAATTTACAAATTACAAGTGAAAGATACATATGTTTGTAGAAAAAAAATTTTTTTTATAAAATTCTTATGACAAATCAAATGTCGGAAGCCTAGTTATATGAGTCTGTGACAGTCAAGCATGACTGAATCTGACGATTCTCTTGAGGGATCTCATGTGTGGTCCGCGGCGCGTCTGCCAGTCAAAAATCTCTCACGGTCAATAACTAAAAATAAAAAAAAAAAGAAAAGAAAAAGAAGTACTTGCTTCTGAATTTAAAAAGTTTTGTCCCTTTCAGTCAGTACATCATTCGATTTGATACAACGTTTTATAAATTGCATAATTTTCAATTGAGGATTATAGCGATATAAAAAAAAAACATTTCTTATTTTAATAAATTTTTATAACAATAATAATAATAATAATAATAATAAATATTATTAAAAATATTAAAAATAATATTATTATTAATTAATAGCTATTATTATTCTTAAAGAATCGCGACTGTTTTGAACTTTAAAAGTTGATCAGCTTTATTACTATAAGGTCGAAGAACATCTCGTTTATCGAATTAGTAAATGTTTGGACAATAAACGGTTGAAGATCGCGCACTTATATCATATGCGTCGGGGGTACATTCGAAAGTGAATAAAAATCATTTTGCTTCCGCATTTTTAATGAATTACTAACTATATAGGTGATATTTATTAATTCAATTACGTTTATATATTATTATTTATTATCTTACTAAATTGTTTATAAAATTTGTTTTCTTTATTTAATAATTGTACTCTTACCTAAATTATTTGTTAGTTATAAAAAAAAATAATTTAATTTAAATAATTATTTTAAAAAATAATTTATCTACATAGCTTTGAAAAAATTATTATATACAAATAGTTATAAATTTTTTTTTTTTCCCTAATATAGACGATTAATGGACTTTTAAAAGCGCACATAAAAGCCACAGTGTTTTGAGAAATTTTATTCCAACTTGTCACACTAAATTAACAGGGGTTGATGTGTTTGGTGACAAAATGGTACATGTGTTAACATAAGGATATTAACTTACGACTTGGGGTTCAAATGCGCGAGATATGTCACAACATTATCACATTAACAAATATAGTTTAACAACAAAATCTGTCAAATTGATTTTGAACTACAAAAAAAATTTAATTCAATTAATCTATAAAAAATATTAATTTACATTTATACAAAATAATATAAAGAAATAATATAATTATTTAAAACTGAAATATTTGTTCAAATTGAAATTTTTTTTTTGTTGATGAATATTTTTAAAAAATAATGAAAATAATAGAAAGATATTATTTTTTCAAAATCGAAATTTCAAAAGCAATAAGAAAAACAAAAAATATACACCTAATATGTATAATATGGAGACAGTTTCATGTTACAAGTGCCGGCGCCGAAAGCCCATAAATTGTCTGGGAAAATTGTGCATTTTATATATATATATATATATATATATATATATACTAATATAAAGCTGACCACGTGTTTGTATTTTTATGACACTCAAATCTAGCATAACCTGACTGTCATAAACATTAAAAAAAAACTCTTCTATATCCTAAAATTAACATATTTTTTTCTAAATTAAAAAATTAATGAATTAAAAGAATTTTTGGCGCAATATTTACAAGTTCATTTGTCCGATTTTTTATTTACACGAATTATTATGATAGAATTCTTACACTGAAAAAAGGGTTTGGTATCGTTTGGTTGGTATTTAAGCAACCAAAATTTTTTTTTGTTGAATCAACAAAATTTTAATTGTCTCAAATCAAAATTTGTTTGACACAATCAAAATTAGAAAAAAAGGATTTTTTTCTAACTAAAGTTTGTTTGGGACAACCAAAATTTTACTGATTCAATAAAAAAAAAATTTGGTTGCTTAAATACCAACCAAACGTTTGGTTATCAATACCAAACTCTTTTTTCAGTGTATAAGACGGCGAATTATTCATTTGACCGAAATTGCAAATGTCCGAACAAATATAACCTATAAAAAAAAGATTTTGGCGCGATTTTTAAATCTATAATCAATTAGAAATTATCAAGAAAATTGGACGAAATTTAAAAATAGCGTCGAATATTTATTTGTAATTCTTCTCAAAAGAAAATTCGATTTTTTTATAAAAATTATACCATAGAGACAACAGGGAAATAAAAATTCGATATTCTGGCATAAAAATTCGACTCGCTTAAAATTTGGATAAATGAGAATTTCTACTGAATTGAAATTCGATTAAGAATGCTAAAAAGTTGGATAGATATAGAAATTCGGTGACCTAAAAAAATCCGTTAAATGAAAATTCCACTGAATTCAATTTCGAAATAGAAAAATTTGACTAAAAGAAAATTTTAACTAACATTCTGTGAAATAAAATTTTAATTAATTTTATGGATATTAAAAAAATTGTACATACCTTGATCCGTAACAGGCGTATGGCATCCAATATGGACGGAATTGACATTTCCGACGGGACTCGTTGAACTAGATTGAATAGGTAGACTTTGAATTGTAGTATTTAAATTAACATTTCCAGGTAGTGCATATCCTGTATAATAATCCTGGCTATTATTTTGACTTTGTGAACTCAAAGGACTCGAATTACCAGGATCAGCTTTATAAGACGTTATCAATCCATCGTGTTCATTTTCAACCTTAAATCCAACATCCTGTTGAAGTGGTTGTGACAAATGTTGTTGTTGCTGCTGCTGCTGCTGCTGTTGTTGATGATGTGAATGATGATCCTTTAGTACTGGTTGAAAACTATCGGTTTGTCTATACAATTGATTATGATCTTGAACTCTAGTAAAATTCCCATCATTCTTAAATGTCAATTCACCATTTCTATAGTGTGATGTTTCACCAGTTTTATACGTGACTTCAGTTGTTTTATAAGTAACTTCAGCAATTGGTGGACTTTTATAGGTAGCCTCTGGATAGCCCCAATCGGAAGGAATAGCTGCCGCCGATCCATACCATTCGGGATAATTTTGATATTGATTTTGATAACTATTTGTATAGTCAACGCCAGGTGGTAGATTTTCATAACCAGAACCCTGAACACCAACCACTGATCCTGTGGTATTGGGAAAATATTGAGAATGATATTGTGGCTTAAGGGCTTGACATTTTCTTCGAAAACCACGTGGTCTTCGACGAAAACTACCCTCCTCGAACATATATTCACTTGCTGGATCTATTGTCCAATAGTGACCTTTACCAGGTCTTCCTAAACCTTTTGGTAGTTTAATGAAACATTCATTGAGACTTAAATTGTGTCTCACTGAATTTTTCCAACCCTGATAGGCACCACGAAAAAAGGCAAATCGCTGTTGTAGAAAAGTATAAATTTCCGAAAGGGTTAGTCTTTTTCCAGGACTAGATTGAATGGCCATTACTATTAATGCTATATACGAATAAGGTGGTTTCTCTTGACGTCTTGTACCAGCTTTTCTTGGTGAATCATTATTCGACAATAGTGAATCCATTGTTTGTGATTGTGATAATGGTGACATCATTGACGTTATACTATTTCTATGTAAATGATGATGATGAATTCCAGTTGATGATGTTGAAATTTGATGCTGAAGGGACGATACCGTATCCGTTTCGTTCTTCATTATATATATAAATTATGATAATCGTTAATTAAATGTCAATTCACTAATTATCACACATCATTGCACATTCTGTTTCTAAAATTATTGATCATCACATTTGTCAACTATTAAAATGATAATTCATTTCAAAAGATCGACTTATTAAAAAAAATAGAAAAATATTCCGAGGAAATAATTAAGAATTAAAAAAATTCTTTAGGACCGTGCTTTTTCTTAAAAGTGTTTCAATCGACTGAAAGCTTAAGGGTTAAAGATGGATTAGTGAGAAGATGATTTTGTTCGTGAGCAATGTATCACACACTGATTTCTTTACTGGTAGGCGTGAAACACATGGGCGTACGCACATCAAGTGGGTGGAGTTGAAATTGGATAAAAATAGAAGGGAGCCAAACTATTGGTACTTTAATAACCAATCCTGAATTGATCTACTGGAAATTGGATTTTAAAAGGGTTTTTATTATTTAGAGACATTAGAGGTGATTAATTTTTAAATTTTTGAAAACTTTATGTGGCAAATATATGAAGTAATGAACCAATAAATTGGGTTTTTAATTAAAATTTTTTTTCATTCTTTTATTCTACAATAACACAGGTGGAAAAATTAAGTATAATTTTTTAATAATCATTAGCTATTTAAAAATTATTAATCATTTTTCCGCTTGAGTAATAAATAACGTGTATATGTAATAAAATAATGTATTATAATATGTATAATCTAAAAAAAAGTCTTGAGAACAAACTCGAAATCTTTCTCTCTATACATAATGTCGAGTGAAATTGAGCACTCATCATCAGTCATGCGTCTGGAAATATAAACATTCTCGATCTCATTGATTATAATAAAGCAAATCTCGATTGATAAGAGGAACGTCCCATGGAATATTAACCATAAAGAAGAAAAGTGATGAAAAGGTTATTCACCGAATATTTCTTTTGCATCTATAATATATGAAACATTTTTTCTTTATAGACATTAATCGAAATTAATACAATTTTTTTTAAACAGGGTTTCTACAAATTTTTTATTCCAAAATGAATTTCATGCTCTAAATAACACTATTTTTGACATCAAAAATCGATAAAAAAAAAATACAACAATTCGATTGAATGAAAAATCATAATCGAAAGCAAATTCTGTAAAATGTAAATTGAATCAAAATTTGGTTCAATAAAAATTTGTTCAAGTCAAAAATTCTGTTAAATGCGTAAAAATTCATGAGCCGAAAGTTTTGAACGTTCATATGAACGAAATATTTTTTCAATCTATAAATTATTAAAAATTATAATGACCATGTAAAATAAAATAGTAAATTAAACAATTATTAAATTAATAACATCTTTTTAGATATTTTAAACAATATTTTGTAATAAAATTCGTACTTAAAGAAGTTGCAAAAAAAATTTCGTTCATATGAACGTTCAAAACTTTTGGCTCATAAAAATTCATTCAAAAGAAAGTTCAATTAAATAAAAATTGGGAAAAAATAAATTTTGTTAAGACACTAATTTAAAAATATCAAATTGATACCAAAAATATCAAATTGATATAAAAATTTGTATCAATTTGATATTTTTGCGGTATCAATTTGATACTTTGAAATTTGTGTGAAATTAAAATTTCGTTTAAATTTAGTTACACTGAAAAAAAAATTTATTTGATTCAAATACCGGTGTATTTGGTTATTATCAAATAAATATTTATTTGAATCAAATATTTCTTATTTGAATCAAATAAATGGTATTTGCTTTAAATACTGAAATATTTGATTCAAGTAAATATTTATTTGATAATAACCAAATACACCGGTATTTGAATCAAATAAATTTTTTTTTCAGTGTAGGTAAATAAAAATTCGGTTAAATTGTAATTAATAATATTATTTCAAATTAAATGCACCAAATAAGAGCGTATTTCAAGTGGTAAAAAGAGAGCTTTTTTTCTGAGAACAAGAAAATTTATCGTTTTCATATATATTAATTATGATGAGAGGCTCAGTAAATTCCCTTCTTAATTTTTTGTTCACCTAATACTTATAAAGACCACCTTATAGAAGTTTTATGAAAAAAAGTACATATATTCTTCTTATATGCACTTCAATTCTTATCAGTATAACACACCAACAAGGCTCTTGTAATAAATTTATTTCATTTCAACAAATAAAAATACCACTTGATGCGCGGGAAAATTTTCATTCTTTTTACACTGTGTTTATTTTCATGCTTATCATATAATAAAAAAAAAATTAGGTCATATATATTCTTTTGCAAAAAAGTATTTTCTTTCAGGGTAAAATAAAAAATTTCATTTTTCAAAAAAAAAAAAAGTTTTTCTTCGTAAAGAAAAAGGGGTAAGGGTTGTGCAGCATTTCACTTGAAAGTAAATCAAGAGCGCAAGAAAGAATAAAAATTGTACTTCTGGAGAGCACGTGATCTTGGTCTTGACTGAAAAACGAGGGGCCACCCAAGCGGTGATCACACGCGCCGCCAAGTTTCTCTGTTTACATGATACAGTAATTTCATACCACTGATCATATTGCCCATGTTTTAATTCCATGTTAAAATACATTATTTTATATAATATATAAAACATTTGCACCCTTTAAATTGTATAGCGAATAATTCTTGTGATAATCAATATTATAAATTAAAATTGTTTTTTAACCAAACATTTTATAAATTGATGAATAAAAATGGTTCTATAATATTCATATAATGAAAAAATAATTTTTTTTTTTTATATGAATGATTAGAAGTCGTAAAATTTATAAAATTGTTTCCAGATTCCTCTGCATCAGTTCAATCATCAGGCATAGGTCTGGAAAATGTTTCTTTTGCGTCAGAGAGTGAAAGACAAAGATGAAAAGTGCGTTATAAGAAGAAAATAAGAGCAAGATAGCTTTAACATGATCTCAAAATAAGATATGTTTATACGTTCATGATGCTATTTTGGAAACCTACAAGTTTGCTCGCGTTTGCGAAACAAGACTTTCGATTAAAAGCTCGTATTTCTAAAAGTTTCACTATATACTGTTTGCGCCATGCATCTAAAAATTTTTTTAAATAAATCCAAATAAGTCAAGGGAAGAATAAAGCCCATTATATAGTTGAAAATTTAACTCTCTTTTTCGGTTGGGATTAATTTTATAAAATAAATTATTAAATTACAAAATATAAATATTTGGTCAAAGATTACATATATCAGAAAATAAGAAAAAAGAAACGGGTTAAATTATGTGAAGAGCTATAAGGGAACGCGTTTTGTTTATTCACTCCACTTAATTCAATGTTTTAATGTTTAGATTTCGAACTACTGTTTGCTAAGGGGTTGGCTCGACATGACCCCTTGAGAAGTTGAAAAATGTGTCCCAAATTACTGCACGTTGATAGATCACAATAAACAGGAGCAGAAACCAGGACCATCTGAAAAACCTCTTACTTTTTTTTTTATGATGAAAGTTCAAAAGTTTCAAAAACCAAATGCTCATCACAATTTTTTTTTTATCAAATCCTCAAATTAGTAAAAAAAAAAATTTTACTAATTTTTCATAAAATTTTACTATTTCATTTAGCATCTCTTTTTTTTACTAAATAATGTTTACTAAAATGACTACTCTCTAAATCTGAATTAGTAAAAATGTTTACTAATTTAAATTAGTTACTCACTATTTGCTTTAGAATTAGTTAAATTTTACTAATTGTTAATAAAAGTTACTAATAATTAGTAAAATTTTACTAATTCAGAAGCAAATAGTGAGTCACTAATTTAAATTAGTAAACATTTTTACTAATTCAAATTTAGAGAGTATAAAAATTATTAGAATTTTTTTCTAACAAATGGACGATTTGCGATAAAATCGGGAAAAAGTTTTTTTTTCAAATATTTGAGAAATATTTAAGACATTTTAATTACTCTAAATAATTACCCTTAAATATATGTCAAAATAATCATTTGAACGTCAATTCGCAGATATAAACAAGGTGTAGATATGTATAAATTAATTTAACATGACAAGTAAACAATTTACTAATCATTACAACTTTCTTTCATACATCACTCTTTCAAAACATTAAAACTTACAATAATTAAAATTAAAATTTGTATTTTAATTTTAATTAAGTTTCACTAATTAAAATCAAAAGAGTATATATATAGGAAAATTTGTCTTTTAATTTAAAAAAATATATATATATGAAACTGTTATGTCAAGGACGATGAATTAATAATATTGAACCAAAAATACACGCGAAGGTTGATATCAAAAGTGAATTAAATTCGCTCACGTGATACATATTCCGCCATCGTGTTTCTGGTGAATGGGAACAAGGGAAAGCGCAGCTGCGGCCATCTTGACGGTTCATGTTCTTAACGGCGTCGTTAAGAAATTAACTGCCGTTTGTTAGATGATTCTTACCTACGGAAATAGAACAAAAAAAAAAATCATGAATGTTTAAACTTTCTGTCACGTATTGCGGTTAAATAATAATTAAAATACATAATAAGGAAAAGGGGGTTTTAAACATTTTTCACAAAAAGGATATTAGGTCACTCCCCCAAGTATAATTTTTTTCTTTTACATTATAAATAAATTTTATACAAAAAAAATTTATTTATAATTATACCTTTATTCTATTATTTATTATAAATAATAATAATTTTTGGTAAATAGCAAAAGATCATTAAAAAGTGAGGAAAATATAAGGCAAAAAACTTTTTTCTTTCTTAAAATTAAGACTTAAAATTAAGACTTAAAATTATAAACAATTTTTTTTGGAAAAATGGTAAAATTTTTTAGACTATTTTTTTTCTTACTTTTGATCAAGATAAATTTAAAAGCCACAGAGGCAATTCTATAAAAGTTTTTAATAACAAATATGAAGTAGTCGCCATTTTCTCGGAACCAACGATGGAACCGGAAATCGTAAATCTTAACTCTTTGCGCGCCTTTCAGTCCCATTTCAATTCACCGTTTTTCTCTTAATCGATGAGAATAAATCGACATACTTTTCCATTAAAAAACCAACATCTTAGTGGACAATAATTTCACTGTTTATAAGATACGTCGCGGACGTGAACCATCTGTTTCACACGTCCAATAAGAATAGAGTACCAACCAGTTTTGTACCACCTATCTTAAAAAATTGTTAAAATTATAAAAAAAAAAACATTCTCCATGTTTATAAAATAATATATTATTGTTTAATTTTCAATTTCAAATGATTAATAATCATATAATAAATATTTACAATTTACTCAAATTGAGTAAAGAAAAAAAAAAAACATTTGTTAGATTCATAAGGAAATGTATTAGATGAATCAAGAAATAATAATTGATCATAGAAAAATTTTACAAAGGATTTATATTTTTGTACAAGTAAAATATCCATAGAGTTTTGGTTTCTATTTGACCATGAAAAAATAAGAAGGAATTTCTACTTTATCACATAGTTAATAATTCCTCAGGTATCTAATAGATGTCGTTTTAACTTAGTCGGTAACGTATTACCTCTCATTTCGTAGAGGATAAGAAAGAAATTTTTTGTACTTTTTTTAAAAAATTAAACTATATATTTTTTTAAAAAATATGAAAAACCAATTTTAAAAAATATTAAACTATAGAAAACTATGTTAAATAAAAACCTAATTTATGCGGATAAAATAGAAACTTCTTTACCAAGGTATAGCAACTGGTATTGAGAATTTCTACTATATCCATTGATGGTACTTGATTTGTAAATTGAATTTAGTACAAATGGAATCCAACAGAGTTAGAATTTAAAATCAGATATTAAAATAATACAAAATTCGTAATCTTTTATATAAACAATTATTAAAAAAAAAAAAATTGTTAAAATCAATATTAAACAATATATAGTAAATGTTCGACGATCATTTATATTGAAAAGAAAATTTATTAAATTTATTATCAAAAATTTTGGTTAGTTAATAAAAAATTAAAGGCAATATTTTCCATCTGACAAAAATATTTAAAGAAAAAAATGGTTTAAACGAAAAGAATAACAAAGAAATTTTATTGTTATTTGTTTGTTTAAAAAAAATAATAATAAAGTTCTACAAAAATTTGAAAAAAAAAGGTAATCGATACCTTCACGCACTGACTTTTGAGATTCTTAAATGCTTTATCCCAGACTAAATAAAAACAATGTTGGATCCCTTGCTCCCGCAGGTTTCGTATATATATATATATATTTTCTGAATCAATATTGAAGTTCACGCAGACTTTCTACCACTATATACATATATGCAATGGATATAGTTGTCTAAGAGCCATTTTGCCTAATTGTTCAAAATCTTAAACATATATTTGAAAACAGATTTGTTTATCTATCTTTTGTTCTATTGTGATATGTTAAAAAACATTGTTTTAATACTATAATATGTTATTGTTTATGTATTCTTAAAGATATTTTTTACACATCAGTCATATATATAACTATAATTACATAAAAACAAAGAAATTTAAATGTAAATTAATAATTAAGACCTTGTTAAGAAACAATTATTAACAAAGTGAAACTTATGAACCAAACGGAAGGTTCTAGGCAATTAAATTACTTTAAAAAAAAATTTACGACTTTACTGAAACGGATTTAAAATAATAAACTAAATAATATTAAAAAAAATGCCCATAAAGCACATTATTTATACGATTTTCTGGAAAAACTTTTCTCAGTTATTTGCATTGAAAAAAAACCACAACTTTGTTTTTTTTTCTTTTTTTTCTTAAAAATCAGATTTACAACTTATAAAACACAATCATACCTTACAATTATTTTTTTCAGTATACTTTTCAACAACTGTTGTTTCATCGGTAATAGGCATTGTTTTGAAATTAACAAAAATAAAACATCCAATTCCAACAATGCCAACAACAATAAATGTCATCAATTGCAAATGTAATCCAATATAATTACTACCAATAAAACTTAATGTAACTGCAATTGATTGACAAAAACAAAAGAAAGCAAAAGCAGGTGCAATGTCTTCTTTATAAATAGTTCCAAGTATATTGTAAATTTGTATGTTGATACAAGAATCACCAAAGCCAAGAAAAATACCTCCAATTATAGCCAAAATCGGCATAGGTGTGATTACTCCAATGTCCTCAGTATCCTACAATATTATCACTTGTATATAATATTTCAATACTATATTATTATAATTATTCACTCAGAAAAAAATTTGTTTGAAGCAACCAAATTTTGGTTAAATCAACAAAATAAATGCATTGATTGACCAAACATTTGGTTGCATAAACCAAACGTTTATTTAGCTCAATTTTTTTCTTTGTTCAAAAAATTTATTAAAATAAACCAAACAGTTATTTAGATCAAATAAATATTTATTTGAATTAAACAAATTTTGTTTGAACACAGAAAATTAAAAGGCATTAAAATAATGCTGCAACGCTTATTATTTTAATTCAATTTTGCTTAGTTTAATACCAAAATGGATTAAAATAAGCAAAATTGGATTAAAATAATAAGCTTATTTTAATGCCTTTTAATTTTCTGTGAACCAAAAAATTGGGTAAATATAAAAAAAAATGGTATACATTTGGTTCTTTTTTCTGAGTGTTTGTCTAAATTTAATAAAATTACCTTAAATGGAGCATTATTTGGAAAATTTAAATACGTAATTGTATAGCAAATAATCTGCGCCAAAAATCCAATAACAAGACACGAACTAGAATTGGAAAGAATTTTAAATCTCGGCGCAACTGATCCTGAAAATGTAGCACCAACTGATGCACCAATACCAATTGCAACTCCCGTTAAATTAACAAGCCTTTTACGAATTTCTCCCAATTTGACAGTGAAGCCTACCAATGATGTATAAACTCCCGTATAAAAAGCAATAACAAGGCCAGTATAGAGAAAAGAAATCGAAAGTAACATCATGTTTTGTGTAAAAACAAGTAATGCAGCATTTTTCATTCTAAGCCATGATGAATTAAATGAACAATCATTTATTTCTTCATTTTCAATCTTGTCATTTTTATCACTACTAGTTTTATCGGACTCTATCAATGGTGGACTTTTTAATGCAGTAAAAATTCCACAACCAATTGTCGATAATATTGTAAGTGTTACTAAAATAGTTTTTCTTGTTGTTTCATCAAATGTTTTACCATTGAATGTGAAGTAGACAAACAGGTTTCCCGTAACTAATGATAATTGAAAAGTAGCCCAGAATATACCGGCATTACGTGAAATAGTTGTTGATTTACTATTTTCTGTTAGTGCACGACCTGAACTAACCCACATTAATGCATTTCCAATACCTTGTATTGCTGATCCAAAATAGAGTAATGTTTTTTCTGGCCAAAAAAATATTACAGTAAACACTAAATTACACAATGCACCAATAAATATTGATAATTGTGTACTTATTAATGTACCATACATTGGGGAAAAAAATAATGCCATTCCAAAAACAATGAAAACAATTGCCAAACTAATATATCCATCGCCTGTAAAATTTGGTTTATCTTTCTCAACTGCGTCCAATAAATTTTTCTGAAATTACAATTTTTTATTATCATATACAAGTGAAAAGAATTTCTAAAAAAATAGAAATGACATTCTTTTTTTTTGCAAATAAAAATGAACAGAAGGTATTATTATTGTAATTTATGACCAATTACAGGAAGCAAGCTTACAAATTTAATTACTATCTGTTTAAATGCAAAAAAAGATTATACTTATAGTCGCGGGTGAACGTAAACTCATTTTCTGAGGACAATGAAAAGCAATTCTTACGAGTTTCAGTGAAAAACGGGGTTAAGGTTAACGATTTTAATTTCTATCCTAGTACAACTATCGCGTGTATCTTAATACGATATCTTAGATTTATTTTTTTATAAGGAAGAAATATTTTCATTGACTGATCATTTTTTTTTTCACAAGGGAACTCTTTAAATCCGAATTAGTTAGTTTTTGCTAAATATTAACCAAACTTTGCATTACAAAAAAATAAATACCTAAATTTTAAATCATTAAATTTTTTTCCAATTTCAATTTAAGGAATTTTTTTTTCCTTTTATATTTAAATTCGATTTTACTAATATTTTTTTTTTAGTAAAATATTAATTTACAGTTCTAATTTTTATTTTATTCACGAATTCAAATTTAGAGAAATGACTAAATTTAACTTTTTGAAGAATTTTATTTATTTACGTTAAAAAAAAAAAAAGAATTTTCAGATTGTTACTATTTTTACAAGTGTTCTATTTATTCCAAAAGAAGAAAAATCCAAGAAAAATTTCTCAACTTACTTGTGTATTACTCATTGTTTGAAATGAAGAAAATGTGAACATAAAACCCCAACTTAATATCAATATATTCCTTAATCCTCGATCAATTTTAAATCTCATTGTGAAATTATAATTTAAAAAAAAAAATAATTTATTTTAATGACACAAAATTGGTTTAAAATCTATTTTACTATAGTACACATATAAGTATAACGAATAAATTGCATGAGTTATGAGTCAAATGCAAACTGCAGCACAGCTCAGCGTAAACTAAAATTTAATGAAAATTGAAAGAGACGGTAAGTCTCTATACTATTATATTGTGTAATTCTTGTCTATATCTAATTTTTTATCATATCATACCATACAATATAAATCATTCTATACTGTTATATAGCTATTATAGAAAGTTTTATTTCATCCTTTAAGATATATAGTTAAAGATAAAAATAACTTTATTTATGTACATAAATTATTAAATAATTGTTTTTATAAAAATAAATAATTTTTTCAATACCACGTGAAAGGACTTTCGGAAAAATTGTAAAAATTTCAAAAAAATTTTCCTAAAAAAAAAGTTCCCAAAAATTTTCGAATATAAATTTTCCGGAAAACCTATAAATAAATAAATATTTATAAACTTTCTTCCTGTTATAATATTCATCTTATTAAAAAATTTGAATTAATTTCAAATTGGTGTTAATTTCAAACTATGTAAATGTGGTTGCCTATAATCAGGCGTTATTATTTATTTACTTTTATAAAAAAAAATATATTTTTTTTCAAATTTCTCTAGTGGATTTTTGAATTAATTTCTTTTTTTTCTTTTTTTAAAACAATACCAGAAGAAAAAGAATGTTAAAAAGAATTTTTATCTCTCGGACAATTTGAAATTCCAGAATCTAAAACCCCAAAAGGGAATAACAAAAGCATACATACACTGAAGTAAAAGAAGAAGAAGAAACATCCGCCTGTGAAACATTTGTTTCGGCTTAAATCTTAAAGATCCAAGTGTACCTGATGGGAAAAATAGGAGAGCTCAGCCAGCGAATCTGCGAGAACTCGGCCATCTGGAAAGACTTACACAAGGAAGTCGAGAGTGAGTGAGTGAGCGAGAGAGAAAGAGAGAGAGAAAAAAAGGCAAGAAACAAGGAAGAATCCGTGTGGTTGAAAAGAAAAAGATAAAACAGCAGAGAAGAAAATTGAGAGAGTAGTGGGGGAAAAAAACGTCAAAGTTTTAAGGGGGATTTTGTGACACAGAAAAATCTGTGGCTCTCGGGAAAAATCTTCTCTCTCTCTCTCTCTCTCTTTCTCTCTTCCCATCTCATACGTGCTATGGCCAAAGTAACCCGGATATTCGATACAAAATTTTTCAAAACTGAAAGGTTAAAAACTAAAACTAGCTCTCAAAATTTATATAGATGGAAATAAGAGAGGGGGAAGTGCACACAATAGGTGGCGAAGACTAGATTAACGTCAAAAGATTATTATTTTGTTCAAAAATGCAGCGCCACCAGTTAATCCGAATGGGAAAGGCAAAAAATCACTGCTGGAGTTGAAAATTATTCTGCTCTTTAAATCTTGTTTTTTTTGTTGACCTTTAAAAATCATTAAATTAGTATCTTTTTTCGAAAAAAAAAATATATATTTCTAAATATACATAAAGTCACATAATTGCCGGTATTTAAAAATTCAATATGTATGATACATTTTTTATAAAATTTAACTTCATAATTTAAAATATAAAAGTTTAAATATTTTTCCTTGCATTGAATTTTAATTATTATAGTATGACATCATTGTCTACTTTAAATTTTGTCTATTTTAGAAAAAGAATGTAAAAATATAAATTAAAAAAAAAAAAAAAAAGATTTATAACGTAATCAGATTTTGTAAAGATTTGTAATCTCAATTCGTGGAAGAGGAAGAGGAACTAATGTCTCCTTTTTGCGCGATGTTTTCGCTAGAATGAAAACGGATATGAGGAAGAAGAACAGGATGGGGGTGCCCCTCTGTTAGGAAGCTATGGGGCGGAGATGAAATCACATATAGGAAATACTTGAAGGGGAATGAGAAATCGCGAAGCAAAATATATATATATATATATATGCAAGTCGATAGTGACTTGGAAGATCAAAGGAATGCGACAACGGATACGCGTAAACGTCAGGGCCCAATGCTAACCTCTCGTTCTCGCGAAAATTCATCAAAGACCTGAGGATGGATAAATGTAAGCGACCGTTTAGCGCGAAGTCGTCGCTAATTTTAATTACCCCTTGATTTACATTTCAATATTAGTATATATATAGATTAAAAAACTGAGAAAATGTAATCTAAATAATTTATATTTAATATAATATTATACATATTAAAATTAATTTATTATTAATAAATTATTGTATATAACGAGGTAAATATTTTATAAAATTATTTTCTATTATAAAAAACAATTTAAATAAATATTTCATTGTCTATCAATTTAATAATAAAAAAATTTAATTTTTCTTTAATTAATATATTTTAGTTTCTCATTTTTTAAAAATTATATATTGACAAACGAGTCAATATACTTAACAAACATGTGTTCTCTTATCGGGTTTTTTTTTTTCTTCAAAATTAATGTACATAATTAGTAAATGAACGTAAGGAACTAATTTTAACATATATTTACATTTGTTCAATACGTCATTAAAATAAATATAAAACAATTTTACGCTGGTCTAAGTATAAGTTCACGCGTATTAAAAGATTTTTCTTTCAAAGAAATGTTTGCTTTTTTGTTCTGGTGTGAAAACTTAATTTATTGTATAGACATGGTAAAATAAGAAAAGAGAGAGAGAGAGAGAGGGGGGGGAGAGTTTGTTTCTAGTGAAAACTAGAGTATATGGAAATAGTTATAAGACACCAAAATATATAGTTTTCAGTAGACAGCGTGGCACCAAGGATATTGTCCGGACATGGCAATAAGGAAGTGGGCCCTGCTTCTTAAAAAAACACCGACCCGCTAATATCCGAGTAGGAACGAGCCTGAGAAAACACTGTCGTTTTTAAGACCGCCTCTGTTATAAGACATTTATATATATATATACATATATCTAGATATATGTATATATGCCGCGGATACAACAAAAAAATAAAAGAAATATTACATTTAAATTATATACAAAATGTACGTAAGTAATATATTATAATTTCACTCTTGCGTAATTTATATTTTCTTCAAAATTAAAAATGTTAAAATATAAAATTGTTTATTCTATTTTTCATAGAATTATTTATAATAAAATTTAAAATATATTTACAGTGTTAATAATTGTAGGAACAATGTAGTAAAAAAAAAAAAAAAGATTCTTATACAGACAGCGTGGCACCCTTCGTATTATTATTCATTCTCAAGTCTTTTTTTAGGGGCGGTGACCATGACTAATTAACTGCCTAACGACAACGACGGTAGGAAGGGCAATTTATAGTTTGCCCTATGATGACTTTTATTTCATTGCTTCCCTATATATATATTGCTGAAGACTCAAAAGTGCCGGTATAGGTTTTTTTTTCGAAGCAGAAATCACGTTCTATCGTATATAAATTATTTCGAAACTCCCATTACTTTCATCACTTTTATATTTTCGAAACTCATTGCTTTTTCAAATTTTTCAAGTTTTTTTTCTTCGAAACCTAACCTTTAAGTAAAAAAAAAAATTTTCATGCAATATTTAAAATTTTTTTTACTACAAAATAATAAGAAAAATTATTTTAAAAAATCTAACCTTATGCTGCAACCGCGATAATTATTTCAGACGAGAAGATCTGACAGGAACACACACGCGATTTAAAAAATTTCTAACACTCCCGAAACGTTTAAAATTTAAAAAACAAAATACTTTTTCAAAAACTTAAGCAATTGCGATTTTAAAAATTTTTTCGAACACTCCCGAAACAAAAAATAAGAATTTGAATTTTTTTTAATTCACGGATTAAAAAATTCGAGCCAAAATTCCAAATCCAAAATTTACACTAATAATAATCACGTCTAAATAGGTCAATACACGAATTGCAACTAATTGAATTTATCCTTGAGATTTTCAATATCCAAATTGTTATGACCTTCGGTCCTTTGTACTTAAATGTAAACAAACAGCTCGGTATGCGCAATAAAGGTAATAATATTCCAAAATCATTTCAACAAATTTAAAATGCTTCGGAATTATAATTATATATATTTTTCAAATATTAAATATTTCATTTATTTTTTTTTTAATTTTTAAGTGAGTAAAAATAAACTAAAAATTTGTTTACCGAAATCGTGTGACAAATTATTAAACACAAATTTAGGAACAATAAAAAAATCAAATTAAAATTGGGTGAAATCAAATGAAATATTAAATAAAGATTAAATTAAAACCTGACTAAATGCAAAATTTGATCAAATAAAAATTTATGCTATAAAAAAAAAAATTCCGGCATCAAATAACAATTTGGTTAAATGAAAACTAATCTAAATATAATTCTATATTTTTCCAAACTCTTTCCCAAAATTTCAGACTAATTTCCGGGTTTCCCCGTGATTGGAGCAAACCTCAATAAATTGTTAAACTAATAATTATTAGTTTATATATATTATTTTCATTAATTTATTATAATAATAATTAATTAATAATTAATTATAATAATTTATTAATAATAAATTATTATTTATTATAATAAATTAATTAAAATATTTAAAAAATTAATATTTTAATTTTAAATTGCCTTGGAAAACAAACACAATTGTTTAAAAAATAGAATTTTTAAATTAAAAAAAGAAAAATCAAGACTTTTGTGGATAATTAAGGCGCTTAATTATTAAACTACAATGCAATCTCTCCTGTCAGTTAATGCCTGTCCTCTTTGAAGGCTTTTACACTTTACTCGCGGTAGCCATGTTGCTGTCAAGTTTTCTGACATGACATACGAGTTCACAGTGTGTACAATGTTCCATTAATATACACGAATATTATATATACCAACGCAACTGAAAAGCTCATATATGTATGAGTAATATATGATGAAGGGATATATACATAATATGAAGAGCTATAAAAGTATGGCGGCTTCTTTTCCAGAAGGTCTACTCCATTTATTTGCAACTGTAAAAAATTATTCCCTCTTTTTAAATTCCCATCGAGATAATGAACTGAAAAAAACAAAAAAAACTAATAATTAAAACAAAAATAATAAAAAGATGGCTTTTCCCTCATAAATTCAAGTTTAACTATTGTCAAAATCCATTCTAGCTGTGCG